GGTGGGATGCATGGGGTCACCTCAGCACGGTGGGATGGGGAGGGCCATGCAGGGCTGCACGGTTCCCCTCCTGTGCTCACCAGGTTCTTGAAGAGCGCGGTGACCTCACGGGTGAAGACGGCCAGGTTGAGGAAGCCAGTGGAGAGCTCGTGGTTGTTCTGTGAGAGGTGATTGTTGCCAAAGTTCTCCAGGGCTTCGCTGTACTGCTCCTCGTTCTCCACGTGGGCTGTGCCAGGGTTGGGGGTATGGGACACAGTGAGACCACGCTGCCAAGTGCCACCGGCACCAGCACCGCATCCCCATCCATCCCAGCAGAGCTGCGATTCGGAGCAGAGGATGGCAGCGATGCTCCCTTGAACCACTGTCCCAAGATTTCCTTTGCTAAAGCCCTTTTCAGCCAAACAGGGCACCCCAGCCCAAGGCCAGGCTGCAGGGGACAAGTCCCCACGTTCCCAGGGCCACCACCGGAGGATGGCATTGTCCCACAGCAGGGATGCCCCACATCCCTCAAAGCACCACTTACTGAGCCCAGAGACGTGGATGGCTTTCACGTATTTCCTGATCCTCTGCAGTATGGCTTGGTCCCCATCCAGGCTCTGAGAAAGCAAAGTACCAAACCCTGTCAGTCTGGGGGGTGCTGCCAAGCGGGGTGGGCACAACATAGGGACAGGAGGCACCCAGCAGGGCAGGATCGGTGCTAAGGATGCTGAAACCCCAATTTGTTTGGATCCAAGCTCCCAGCAGCTGTGAAAATGCCTCCAGAGCTCCCACAGGGGCTCACTCCAACCAAGGGGAAAATGAAGGTATCTCACCATGGAGCAGGGCTGCCTCAGGCTGCCCCTGCCACGCCAGCACACGTACCCATAGCATACAGCACAGCATAAGGAGCACACCAAGGCCCCCAAGCCCGTGCAGGGACCCAGGGCAGAGCCAAACCCCAGCCCCACATCCTGCTGATGGGACAGAAGCAACGCAGATCCCACAGCCAGGGATGCAGCTTTCTGCCATCCCCTCGTGCAAGGCTTCAGATGCATCTCCCCCCCCCCTCGCCTCCCCCAGCCCCATACCTTGCTGCAAACAAAACCCAACACCAACCCTGGCCCCATAGCGCTGCTCAGAGGCGGGCAGAGCCCTGCAAGCAGCTCCAGCCAGCAGGAAAGGGTTAAGGGTAGCTTGGCTGCGCTGCAGGTAGCAGAGGCATGATAACAGGCTGGAAATATTTGGAGGGCGTGAACAGCGCGAAGGGCGAGGGATGAAACCGCGGAGGAATTGCAATAAAGAGCTCTCTCTCCCTTTCTTGCTCTCCGTGAAGGTTTTGGGGCTGATGTCAAGGTCCGTTTCCTGACAGCGGGGTCAGCCTGCCTCCACTCCCGGGAGGTGCAGAGGTCCCTCCTCGAGGGGAAAGCTGCCAGGATGGGGAGGGGGTTGCAGGGAGAGGCAGAAGGCAGAAGCCCCCCAGAGCTCTCATTGGGATGCCATGGGGGGCATGCTGGCAGCGCAGTGCTGCCTCTGTGCTCCTCATTATTGTACCATGGAGCAGCGCAGAGCAGCCCCTGGTTTGGGGGGGTGACACCATCAGTGATGCCTGCGAGTCCCCAGGCACAGCTCTGCCCTCAACCACACAGCATCCCAACACGGCCTCAGGGAGGAGAAACTGAGGCAGCACCGGAGGCTGGGGGTGCACACAGGCACTGCACATCTCTCCAGTGCTTTGGGATGGGGGAAACCCCCCTCCATGGGGCACATAGGGCGGCACAGAGCAAGAACCAGGGACAGTGTGGGGAAGGGAATGGAGCCACATTGGTGACAAGGGATTCCCTATGGGGATGGAGGGAGGGACGGACCCGCACCTGCAGCACAGCCACCCTCACCCAGCACACACTGCTCAATAGGGTCATTCTTTGGTTCCCCCCCCCCCCCCCTCCGTGCCGCCCGGAGAAGGAGCAGTGCTGGGGGCTGGGTGCATCCCCCCAAAGCTGTGAGGGGCAGAGTGGGGCAGGATACAGCCCTGACAATGTGATGGGCACCGCAGGATGCAGCCGCCAGCTCTATGGTCACAGCCACCCTACAGAGACCCAGCCTCCAGATCCCCATGCCTTGCATCCACTCTTCCCTCTAAGTCCAAGCCCCCATGGGATGCAGCTTCTGCCCCCATTACCCCAAAACCACACATGAGACCCTCAGGAGGGGACTGGACAGCCCACTGTAAGCCCATGAGGGAAACTGAGGCACGACACAGCTCCAGACAACCAAGCAGAAGGGGGGGACCTCAGCAGCCCCACAGACCTCTTGCTCTCAGCTCATTGGGGTGCTGGTGAGACAGCCTGGGCTCAGACCTGGCAGCACCATAGTGGGCATCCTCACTCCCTCCTGCATCCCAAAGCACCAGCAATAATATGGGGTGCTGATGAGGTGGATCAGAGCTCAGCTGGATGCATCCTTCCCTGCAGCCTCTCTCCCCAAAGATTCCAGAACCACTGTCACCAGTGCCAGCACTCAGTCCCCCCAACAAACCCCCATCTCCCTTCCCCCAAATCACAGCCTCCCCGGGGAAGCTGAGCAGCCAAGTGAAATTCCTGCTGCTTCCTCCTGCCCGAAGCTGCCTCCCCCTTGCCAGCCAAGAGCAGAATTTGGGATGCCCCACACCATCCCACCACCCAGCCCTGGGTTCCCAGCCTGGGGGCTGCAAGGGGAGGAGGGGGCTGTAAGCCCTGGCTGCCCTTCAAAGCCATTCCTTTGCTAAGAGAAGTTGGCAGCGAATGTGGGACCAGCTGGGAACAGCCTCTGCTGGAGGCAGGAACGGGGAGAGGGGGATGAATGCACCCCGCCTGAGCTCCACCAATACTGATGGGGCTTTTTTGGGGGGAAGAGAAAAAATCCTCCCCTGGCTTTGAGAGCAGTGAGGCCCTGCAACCCATCGGGGCGTAGAAGCTCTCAGCCGTGAGCCACGATGCTGGGGGCAGAGCCAACCCCCGGGCAGCGCCCAGAGCTGGAGGACCAGTCGGGCTGTAAAACGGGGAGGTTTGGCCCCAAACCGCAGCCCTTGGCCTCAAGATATCACCCAGTGGGCTGGAGGATGCCAACAGCTCAGGGTCCCAAAGCAGCTCTGTGGGGGGATGGGGGTCCCCGAGCGCTCAGAGCAATACAAACAGAAGCCCCCCATCCCCAAATCCCTTCAGCTCTGCTTTCCCACAGCTGCATCCAGCAGCGCTCGGGATAAAGAATCAAGGAGTGCGCTCAGAGGGGAGCGCGGCCCAAACCCCCCCGCCCCCCCCCAAACCAACCCCACCCCACTCACCTCCTCCAGAGCCCCCACGGCACCCCGGCATTTCTGCAGCTTGGATGTGAAGGCGGCGGCTGCGGGGGAGCTCAGATCCTCGCCGGTCACGGCCAAAAACTCGGCCACGCTGAGCTGCTCGGGCATGGTGCGATGATGCCGGGGGGGGGAGTGGGGTGTTGGCTGCGGGGCTGAGACCGGAGCGCACCGGGAGAGCAGCCGGGGCTGAGCCGGGAAAGCGCCCGGAGCCTACGGAGCGCCCCGGTGCCGGTGGGGACGAGTGGGGACCGGGGGGTCCCGGACCCCGGCTCAGCACCCCACGCCCCGCACACCGGTCGCGTTACACCGGGGAGGTTCTCCCTCTGCCCGCCCGCTCGCTCGTTCCTTCCCTGCCGCCATCGTGGGGGCGGTGCCGCCCGTCCCGTCCCCCCCCCTCCCCGCGTCGGTTAAAGGCGAAGCGCTCCGCTGTTCGCCCCTTTCCCCTCCGTCCCGGCTCCGATGTAACTCAGAGTATCGGGGCTTCCACGCGATGCATCGCACGCGGCGGGGGTCCGAAGTGTGGAAACTTCATCCTGGAAGCGAAAGGGGGAAGGTGGGGGGGTTGAGGGGGGGAGGTACGGCACCCTCTCCACCCGTGGACAGCGTGGGTTCGGGACGGTGGGGGCTGCAGTGGTCACTGCCCACCTGGAGGGCAAAATTTCCCCTGTAGATCAGCCTCAGCGCGTGAGGGTTTGGGGTTAAATCCATGTTAAATCGCAGCCCCGCTCCCCAAGCACAGCGCTGTCCCCATCTTGCCGTCCCCTGCTCGGACCTGGAGCAGGGGGCACGTTGTGCAACCACCCTCCCCCCCCCGAGGGCTGAACCCTGCCCCGTGTTTACAGTGCTGCCCCTGTGGCTTCGCTCCAAAAAAAAAAAATCCCCGTAGGGAAGCGAGAGCTGAGGAAGAGTGGGAATTACTACTGGGGGGGGGGGGAGCAAGAGAAAGGAGAATCTGCTGGGAAATAAAGTGAAGGAGGGAGAAGGCACGGGGGGACACTCTAGGAGTCATTCCCCAAGTCCTCCACTGCTCTGCTTCTGGGTTTCACCTCTCCAGGCAAGAGGGCAAAAGCCCCCAATCTCTTTGGTTTTCCAGGAACAGGGGGGGGCTCACAAGCACGAGGCTGCTCTGTAGAAGCCCCTTCCCCTTAGGGCAGGTTGAGGGGGGGTCAAACCTCCGGCTGCTTCTTTCCCATCTCTCCAAATTACCCTGGGCCCCATTCAGCGCCCCAAACCCATGCAGCTCCTAAACCCGCCTACAACCCCCCCCCTTCACCCCCCCGCTCCTTTTATTTCTTGCACCTGCAGCGTCCTGCAAACATCCGGTCCTGCAAACAAACATTCAGACCGGTTCTGCTGCAGATTTTGACGCTGGCAAAATCCCAGCAGCCCACACTGCTCACTGGGTAACGTTTCCCTCCGTAGGGGTCTGGCAGGCACAGGGTGAAGAGGTTTTGGGTCCTGCCGCTTTGGAAGAAATGTAGGGGCTGCTGGTTGGGTCCTGGCTGGGAATCCCCCACCAAACATTGGGCATCTTCAGGGCGTGGAGGGAGGCTGGACCCGAGCACAGCATCCCTATCCTGGGGTGGCCCCGCCACCTCCCGGCCGCTACGGGGACTGCCCAGCATCGGCAGCTACGAGGATACGGGGACGGGGCTGTGGGCACAACGCTCGGTGCCGCTCACCCAGCTCACCTCCTCTTCTTCCTCTTCGTCCTCTGGATGAGCAATGCAATCCCAGTGCGGCTCCAGATACCAGCAGGCATCACTGGGTGCCACCGGATATCAACCACTGGGCATCACTGCATGTCACCAGGCACTGAGTATCGCTGCACATCCCTGGTTACCACCAGACATCACTGGGTACCATTTAACATCATTGGGTATCGCTGGGTATCATCAGGCACTGAGCATCACTGGTACCACTCCACATCTTTGGACGTCACCAGACGTTGAGTATCACTGGACACCACAGGGTGCCACCAGACATCACTGGACATCACCAGACATCTCTGGGTATCATCAGACATTGAGAATCACTGGACTTCACTGGGTTCCACTCCACATCATTGAGTAACACGAGACATCGAGCATCACTGGGTACCACTCCACACCACTGTGTACTAGCAGACACAGAGTATTTCTGGACATCACTGGGTACCACTGGACATAATGGGTTACCACCAGACATCAACAGACATCATTGGGTCCCACCCAGCATCATTGGGTACCAGCAGACCTCGAACATCCAGAACACACCATGAACAACGCTGGTACTTTGCTGACAACTCATGAGTTTTATTTCATTTCCTTTCATCCCCTCCCAGGCAGAGAACAGCACATGCCACACATTTCTCACCCACACCGCATCCCAACCAAACTGCAGCAGAGCAAACCCAAAAAGGACAACTTAAATACACTCAGAAACTGAATCCTGAACCCCCAACAGCACCGTGTCAGAGGTGGGTCCTGTATAAATACAGTGCAATAATTAACACACGTTTTTCCATGGGGAGGACTTCCCTGGGGTGTATCCTTTGTGCTGGTGGGGCCACGCTGACCCCACATCACCAGGATGGGGAGAACCCACATGGCCACACGCAGCCCGATGCCATCCAGGGGAAAACCTCTGCACAGCCCCAGCAGTGCTAAAGCCTCTGCAATGAGGGGAAAGTGATGCAGCTGTTGTGCTCCACGCTGCTCCTGATCCCCCCACAGGTACCAACTGCCACCTCTCTGTCCCATTAAGCCCCAGTGTCCATCCCCCCAAGCACCATCACGGCACATGGATTTGCCCACGGCTCCGTTTTAAGAGGCTGCAGGCGAAGTGCCCCCACCCCCAAGTTGAGCATCCCCCTCTGGAAGGAAATCTGCCTCCACCTCAGCTCATTATTCCTTATTGACATTTCAGTGACAGCAGAGGGAGCGCCTCTGTGCTCAGTGCCTCTCGACCGTCAGCTCCAACCCACACAGTTGGAGGTGCCCCACAGGGTTCCAAACGAGCATCCGCCACCCCAAAGCACCACTCTAACTGGAGGAGCAACTGGAGTGCCCCCAAAACGTGACCCTCTCCCCACTCCCCAACACAGCTCCTTCTGGCAGGGGCCCCATTACTGCTAGGTGGGTGCCCCCAACCCCGTACCCAAAGGCCTGCGGTACCCAAGCACCCAAAGGTCTGCCAGCAGCCCATGGAGAGTCGGGGTGGAGACCCCCAATTCCCCCCAGCAAAGCCACCCGGGGTACTGTGCCCCTTCCCCAGCTGTGGGGACAGGGATGGAGCAGTTGGGAACGGAGGAGGCTCAGTCCTTCAGCAGCTCACTCAGGTCATAGGCCTCAAAGAGGTCGCTGACTCCCTCGCCACCCTCCAGCCCCCAGAGGTATTCATCCTGCTCCAGGGGGGGTGAGAAGGGGATGAAGGGCATCGAGTCCAGGTAGGAAGGGGCGCAGGGCAGCTGGTCCTCTGTCTGCTGCAAGAGGTGATGGGGGGAGTCCAGCAGCCCTGCGCCCACCTCCAGCAGTGAGTGGGGCTCTGCAGGGCTGGAGAGGGGAGGGGACGGGGATAAGGATGGGGCACGGTGGCCACTGGGCAGCTGTGGGGATATGGGGGGCTCTGGGCTGTTCTGAAGGGAGGGCTGGGTGCTGCTGTCCCGCAGCACAGGGCTGGAGGGGACGTCGTGGTCCTCGGTAGGGCTGTCCTCCAGGATCTCCTCTGGGCACAGGTAGACCTCGATGGGACCATTGGTGCTCTTCAGGTGCAGCTGCAGGTTGTCCTGGGCGGGCAGAGCGAAGGCTCAACGGGTGCCCCAAGCCCACCCCACATCCCTAAACTATCACAGAACGTCCCCACTTGGAAAGGACTCACACAGATCACCAAGTCCATCCCCTGGCCCCACGCAGCACCACCCAACCCCAAAACCCATGGAGAAACCCCAGCACTGCTCAGGGCGATACAGCAGCACCCATGGGACCCGGGGTTGGGACAGTATGGCAGCATCCCAGCACCAACCCCATTTCCTGACCCCATGCACACCTCGCTGAGGTCAGGCACTTCCAGCTGCGTCTCTGGGGGGGCTTTCACAGCAATCACTGTCTGCTCCTGGAAGCTGCTGATGGCACGGAGGTCCTGGTAGGTGACGTACGCCAGCGTGGGACGAGGCATAGGAAAAAGCAAGGCCACGAGGAGGACAGCTCAGTTGGATGGGGCCCTGGGCAGCCTGGGCTGGTATGAAATGGGGAGCTTGGTGGCCCTGCGTGTGGCAGGGGGGTGGGAGATTCGTGATCCTTGAGGTCCCTTCCCACCCTGGCCATTCCCCCACCCAAACATCGGCCTCAGTGACACACAGACACCCGCCCAGGGAAGCCAAAGGGATGAAGAGGAACTCGGAGGGGGTACCCAAGCCCTCCAGCCCCATCTCCCTCAGCAAAAGGATATCTCTGGTTGGCTCCATCATCCGTCAGCTGCCGCAGCCGCAGGCTGCACTCCTGCAGGACCTGGTCCAGAGCCTTCTCTGCTCTGCCCAGCTCGGCCACCTCCCCACGCAGCACCTGCTGCCTGGTTGCCACCGCCGCATCCTCAAAGATCCCCGTCCCCCTGCAAGCAGAGACGGTCCCCTGAGCACCTCACACCCCCTCCATCACCCCGTCATCCCTTCCCAACGCTCCCCAGCGCTGCCTACATCCACTGGATGTGGTTCTTGGACTTCTTGCGGATGAGCTGGATGCCCTCCAGGACGTTGGTGATGTCGTAGATGCGGCGTTTCTGCACCTCCAGGAGCTCAGCGGCGCGGTTGAGGTCCAGCACTCCATCGGGTGACTCGCTCAGCAGGAGGGTGAACTTCTTGGTGAGCAGCCCCAGCGAGGTGTCATAGCGTGTCTTCTCACCTGGGGACTTGGGGGCTGCAAGGAGAGGACCCCCCCCCCCCCCACCAAAATGCTTCCTTAGCGTGGGATGCTGAGACCATTAAACCCAGCGTAACCCCTCGGCTGGTGGAGAAATACCCCCCACACACCCTGCCTGCCCCAGGAGCTCTGCGCCCATGCAGTGAACTGAAACAGCACACAGAGCTGCACAGAGCGCTGCTCCTGGGGGTCACCTCAGGCAGAGCTGGAGGGGGGACACAGTGCGGCACCGGGAAATGGGATTCGCCCCTCTACCCCACACCCCTCCCATTGCTCTCCAAAGCCCCAAACTTACTCCTGGGGCTGGGCACCTGTACCAGAGTCCTGCCCTTCCCCTTCGGTGTGTGGAGCTCAGGGCCCTCCAGGTCCAGTTTGCGCTTAGCCTGGAGAAAGAGAGAATATCCTGTGTGGGGACAGCCCCAGCCATCCCCCCCCACCCCAAAAAGGGGCACTGCGTGGTGCCAGACCACAGGCTGAGAGATGCTCTCTTGCCTGCAAAACCACTTTTGGGGTTTTACTGGGAAGGGTTCCCACACTGACACCGCTGTGCTTGTGATGGGATAGACTGAAGGGGAAATGGGGAGATCCCAGCCCCACAGTTGCTTCCTGCCCACTGTTCCAGCCCCAGAGCCCACATAGGGAAGCAGCAGGGATTTCCCCTCACCCCCAGCTGCTGGCACAGCTCTGTGGGGCTGAGCTGTGGGAATGGGGGATTCCCAGGATGGAACAGCAAGGCCGGATCCTTGCCCCCCTCACCCCCCTCATAACCCCACTGGGTCCTCAGGGCTGTTCATCCCCTTCCCTCAACCCACCATGGAGGTCATTGGAGAGGGGACACCTCACCAAGCAGCTCCTTGAAATGCCACCCCCAGCATCATTTGTGGATGAGAGACGCCCAGAACTGGGGGAAGGGGGCACAGCAGGAAGACACAGAGAGAAGCTGGGGGTGTCAGCAAACCACCCCCCACCCCACAATGGTACCCCCCCACACACACATCCCTAAACACAAGGGAGGCGATTCGTTGGGCAGGGGGGAGGAAAGGGAGGGGGGTCATTTATCCCAACAGCACAAAGCAGCCCCCCAGCATCACCCCTTCACCCCGCCACGCGGCGGCCCGCGAAAGACCGGCTCCCTGTCCCACAGGGCCCCCCCCAGCACGTCCCTCATGGCAGTGGGGTCCCGCAGCAGCTCGGCACAGCTCCTGCTCAGAGCTCACCCAGCATTGCAGGGAGGGGTTGGGCTGCTCGGCTCTGTGCCCACCCGAGGGGGCCGGCGGGAGAACGCCGGGGGCTGTTTTCCAGCCCCCCCAGGGAGCCAGGTTGATCCCGAGCTCCTGTGGGAATGCACTCCCTCCCTCCCTCCTTCCGTCCTTCCCCCCAGCAGGTTTTCCCCAGCACCCCACCAAAGCTCTGCCCCCCAACGGTTAAAGCTGGGTGCATGGGAAACACCTGCCCCACATCAGACCTCAAACATCTGCCAGAGATTTTGGGGGGGGGGGGAGGGGTATGTCCTGGGCCATCCTAGTCCTTACACTCCCAGATGGGGCCATCCGTGTGTCAGTGTCACCATCTCCCTAAGTAATGGGGAAACTGAGGCACAAAGCCACCCAAGGCTCCCCGCTCAAACAGCAAAGAGGGGCAACCTGGGGGGCTATGGGGTGGGGGGCAACGGGGACTTGCTGCTCCTCTTGTCTACAAGGGACACGACCATGAAGGACAATGGACAAGGGGGTCCCTCCTGCATCCCAGCTGCTCCCTCCCGGCCGGGCAGGATTAAGCACACGACAGCTGAGCTGGGCACAGTGGGGAGGGGAGCGAGGGGGACAGGATGAAGCAAAGCAGCCAACAAAACCCTGCACCCCACCCCCCTGTGGGGCAGAATGCCTCCCCACACCACCCACTGCTGCCTGGGGAGGAGGAGGGGGGGGGGTTATATTCTACACCCTGATGCTCGGGGTGGGAAAAGGAGCTCCATCCGGAGCCCGACGTGGGGGCGAGATGTCAGGGAGGGGGTCGGGCCCCCCGCCAGCTCCTCCTGCCAGAGCTGCACCCAGCGCCCAGCCCAACATCACAGCAACCCCCCCGGGGGCTGTGGGTGCTCCTCCTGCCCGTGCTGCGTTCCAACACCTCCTTCTTTCCCCGGGCTTGCCCGGGCCCTGCCCTGCACCGCCAACCCGGTGCCTCCTCCCCCCGGCCCAACCCAGCCCCACCGACCCCCGATGCTCCCGGGGGCGTGGGAACGTGGTGCTGGTGGGGCTTTGGGGGCTGCACCCCGGGGTCCTGGCACCGTGCTGGGTCACAGCCTTTCTGCACGTGCCAAGGGACGCAGTGCTGGGGTGACGATGGGGTCACACACCCCCCCAGCTACAGGCGTATTTGGGGTCCCTTCTGAAAGCCCCGCATCCCACACAGACCCGAGAGGGAAACGCCATTCCCAGGATCTCTCGGTGAGGTGGGGTCCCCCAGCTGCTCCCAGCACAAAGCCAGGCAACTCCCCACCCCCCCCAGCAAGGAAAGGGCCCCAGGGTGCCTTCCCACCCACCCCTATTTGCTCTTTGCACGGGCGGCACCGAAACCTCAATGGACTCTGAACCCCCTTTTCCCAGCACAGAGGGGGAAGGGAGGCCGGGACCCCCCTGCAGAGGAGAGCCACTTTCCCCTATAGAAACCCTATAGAGATCCCATATGGCAAATACTGCAGATGGGATTGGCAACAGCTTGAATGGCTCTGGAATAAATGCGTTCATGGGGGGAGATGCATTTACCCACCCCAGGGTCTCCAAATCAGACATCATGAGACACTGTCCTGGTCTCCCCTAGCAGGACATGGGGGTGGGACAGCCCAGGGTGGGCTCCTACCCCAACCAGCCCAAGTGTCCCCATGGACATGGAACCAACCCCACAAGGAGGTGGGAGAGGCTGCAATGGCCCTATTGGGGAATGGGGTGGAAAAGCTCCTTTTCCAATTGCCCCAGCTCTGCGCACAAAGGTCGCACCCAGGAGCACAGCCATGTCACCACAGCCACCAGCCGCTGCATCAGGCTCCCCAAATATCACCCAAACCCCCCTGCAAGGGACAGGAGCACCCTGAGCATCTCCTGCCTATAGGGCATGGTGTGGGTGGTAGGACACTACCAGAGCGGCACAAGGAAACGGGACTGAGCGCATTGCGCTTGGGGGTGTTTTTGAGGAGGGGGGCAGCACCGTGTGGCTCTCAACATCCCATGCTGTTTGCAAACAAAGGCAACCAAGTGCCGGGAGGGGATGGGCAGCCCCACAGCCCCCCCCCCGGAATGGGGCCACGCACAGCACAGCGGGAAGAGAACCCCCCCCCCCCCCCCCCCCTTCGTCCCCAGCTGGCACCGAGCAGCAGCGGCCGCAGGAGGGGGGATGAATACCGACCCCAAGCCCTGCAAACCCGACGGCAGCAGCAGGGCCTGGGATGGCTCCAGGAGAACAGAGGAGCACAGAGAAGGCTGGACGAACGCCCGGGGACCGAAGGGATTAAATGCCAACCCCAGCTGCCAGCGGGGCCCCCGAGAGAACCCACCCCGATATGGGGCACAGGGCTGACAGCACAGCCCAGAGCTCGGGGACGTGGTGACACAGCTGTCACAAGCACCCCCCGCCCCACAAAGCCCTTATGCCTCCAGCCAGCTCAGCTCCCCCCTCTGAGCATTCACGGTCCCTCATCCCATGGGGAGGGGGGGGGGGGGTGACATCCCTTAGCACGTGGGGGGCTCGGAGGGGTCTGGGGGCACAGCAAGAGAGAGAAAAGGGCAGATAAAGGCGCAAAGAGGAAGCCGGGACGGGACAGGACAGAACGGGGGGGGGGGGAGGGGGGGAAGTTGAGCAACACCCGCACCATTTCGAGGCCATTTCTGATTTCCAGCCGCTCCCACCCCCCACCCAGCACTGAGAGGGGACCCCCGGGGGGTGCACAACCCAAAGCACACCCCAGCTGGGGGGGCTGCACGGCTCGCCCTCCCCCCCCACGCTCCCTTTCATACACAGCCCCATAGACCCTTCCCAACACCCCTCTAAAGCTGCACGAGGGAACGAGGGGGGGCACGTTACCGGCAGCCGTCCCGCAGAGGCCGATCGGAGCGTCCTGAGCTGGGGGGGTCCCTGAGGGGTGGCGTAGGGCCGGTACGAGCGGTTGCAGCAGGCGTTGGGCATCGGGGGGCTGCCCAAAACCGCAGCCCCGCCAGGTTCCGCCGATCCCATCGCCGTTTTCTTCGGAGGGCGCTTGATGGAGAGCGGGGGGCAGGACGGCCGGGCCCCCCCCCGCAGCGGGTGACAGCCCCCGGGGCAGCCGCAGCATGGCGAGGTGCGTGCCGAGAGCCCGGCCCCCGGGGTTGGGGGACGGGGGGGACGGGGGGGGG